ATAAAATAAAAATACTTTGGGGAAAAATAAATGGAAAAATATGACTCATGAACAATTTTGCAGTATTTTCCATTGGTTTCTTCACTTCTGCTTTAGAGTCAGGTCTGGTTTTGTAAAACACATTTATTTCTCCAAGTAGAAGTTTTTAAATGAATAATTAATTACTGTCACAGTGATCGTGTGATATCTCATTACAGTTATTTCGGTGATATCCCAATGTAATTTATCTTAAATGTGATATGGTACCACTATATTTTATGATGTTTTATTCACTCCGAATAAAAGCTTCTGCTATATAAGGAAATGTAATAATGTGTTTGTAAATATTTTGTCATTTTCTAGTTACAAATCACTAAGTATTATAATAAATAAATACATAAGAACAACATTAGAATTACATGGTTTAATTTATTTTTCATTTTTATAATCATTAATTAGAATCCTTTAATTAGAAATTATAATTTTCTCTTGCTCAGTATAAATGAAGCAAAAAAAAGTTGTAATTTATTTTTCATTATATGAAAGTAATTCATTATACACTGACTTCCACACCTATCATGTTTCCCAGGTGGACTACATTTGAGCCATGAAATGCTAATGCGGTTCTATTGACGGCTACAAAGTTTAGTCTGGTGTGATGCACCTGGTGTTAAATATGAAGGGAGACATGGTGAGGAATAGACACAAAGAATAAACACACAGAGGTGTTATGACAAGAAAACGCAGGTGTTTTTGTTTTGTATCTTGGTCAATTCACCACTTATATGCAACAGTCAACTATGGATCAGTTACAGTCAGAGCATTTAGAGCATCTATACTAAGCATTCAACCTGAAACCACACTCCTGTACAGGTGTGAAACATCCACAACACAACTCTAGTCCATCAATTAACATCTTGTGAAGTCAAAAGCTGCATGTTTGTAACAAACAAGTCCAAGACATTTTAAACTTCAAACTATTGCTTCTGGATAAACTACGAGTCCTCTATCCATAATATTGCACACAAAAAAAACATTTTTGAGTAAGTAAAAATGCTTTCTCCATTGACATCTCATCTGAATCAGGAGAGAAATATGCACCGTTTATAAGTGAAAACAGTCCAAAACAGTTCTAAACAAATATGTTGGTGGATTTTGAGGCGAACGAACAACAGAGAATGGACTTTTTCACTGCAGGAAGTAGTGTTGTAGTCAAGACCACCTAAACCGAGACCAAGACCAGAGTGTGTTGAGACCAAGACGAGATCAAGACTTTGAGGGGATGAGACCAAGTCATGACCAAGACCAAACTCAAATTCATCTGAAAGATCCACATTTACTGCCTGAAAAATGTCTTATTTTTAATCAATAAACACAATTAGAATAATAAGACACTGTATAGAGCTGTTACCAATCTACCAACAAAATTCATCTTTGCACTGCAGATGCAAAGGAAGATGTGGCACAGAATTCGTAAAATTACAACTTAATAAATATGGTTGAGATTAATGTTTTAAATATAAATATAAAGTATATATATATATAGTAAATATATTTGAATATAGAAATACGATGGGAAAATAAACTGATACTTTTAAATATGACACTAAAACCGCCTAGTAAACTAGGTGGTGGCAAATCACTTAGTGAGTGAGTCACAGAATCATTGATACTTTCAAAGCAGCTGATTCATTCAGTAATGAAATATCACTGTGTGTTGCTCGGAAAAGCACAACAGTTCTGCTATAGATTTGTTTGGAACTATTTTTGTTGCGAAATAGCAAAAACGTTTACATTTTTTTTTTATTTTAAAACTTTTTTAATTTAAAATTGTGTCTAAAATATTAAAATATTATATACATCTTTGAGCCTATATTTAGTGTAAGTAAAATACATATACTGTTAAAATCAGATACTCTTAGACGTTTACTCGAGCTATTTTGGAATTGGCAACTTGTAGTGGAGTAATATTCACTGTAAGGTATCTGTACTTTTACTCTTTACACCTCTGATTATCATGATGTTTTTATCAGCTGTTTGAACTCTTATTCTGATGGCACCCATTCACTGACAATTCATTGTTAAGCAAGTGATACAATGCAAAATTTCTCTAAATCTGTTCTGATGAAGAAACAAGAAACAGTCTCATCTACATTATGGATGGGCTGAGGGTGAGTAAATATTTAGCAAATTTCAATTTTTGGGTGAATTATTCCTTTAATGATGCATCCTGCAATAGACCTATAATGTGAAAAAGAGGTGTTTTTACAAATTGTCAGTTTGTCATGTTCAGCTGATGAGACATAAATATAAACATTTACACTTGACAATCATAATTAACACCTACAAAACCTTATGGTTATTGGAAAAGTATTGCTAAAACTCACATCATATGCTTTAGTCACAATATGATATGAGTTATTATGGCCACATTGTTTATAAATCTACAAAATGTTGTTCATGCACTGTCAAAAAAATTGTTGACATTTATGGTAAAATACCGGCAGCTGTGGTTGCCAGAACTTCACCGTAAAAAATATGGTAGCAACATTTTAGGTTTTACAGACTTAACTTAAATTCACAATAAAATACCGTATTTCATTAACTGATGTAATGTTAATAAACCAACATACTGAAGTACTAATATCTGTTTTGAACCATTGTAATGCACTGATAACCACCAAAAACTGGTGGTGATGAGAAAGTCACATGATGAACCAAAGCTCATCACAAACAGCTTTTCTATGAGCTGAGGAGGGCAATACTTATATATAGAATGTGCACACAGAGTCATTCACACAAACACTAAACCCCATCATGGTGACAAACCTGATTCTGAAATAATGCAATAAACATTAATTTAACAACATTAGATGTAAGATTAAACCCTAATGTACACAACTGATAATAAAAAAAAACTAAGAAACATGTTATTTCAACAAAAAAAAAATGAAATAAAAAATACGAAGTGTCATGCAGGGAATTCTGGGAGTGTCAATTTACGCTTTGTCACTGTAAATTATAAATTAACTTTTTCTTTTTAACTTCCAAAAACCATATTTTTAAAAGTATTTTACTGTAAAATTACATTAAATGTAATAACATTTATTCACCGAATATAGTATGGAAACTTACTGTTAACTAGGTAACAGGTTTTTACTGTAGCATTTTTACTGTGTGGCAAAGGCTTTGTGGCTCTACTGACAGTTGTAGGTGATCAAATATCAACGTTTACATTGTGCAGAGGTTGAAGGGTTTATGGTTATAAAGTTTTATAAATACTGTCAGATAGGACATTTAAAATACAAAATACTGACAGAACATTTCTTCATCTGACGTCAGTCACAATCATGTAACCCTGCATTTAAAATGTAGCACATCCTACTGTAATACTATTAAACAGGGATCATACAATCTACAATAAAATCAAATACCGTACTCAATAGTATGTCACAATCTGTCACAAATAAATGTTTTAGTGCAAGTTCAGGACAGAATAAAGCTGAAAACATTGTTGTTTAATGTTAAGATTTATGCTCTGTGACAGAAATTTGATCTGAAAGCAGCCATTTACTGGAACTGGAATACAGCAAGAGACAACTGAACTGTGATTAAATGTGCTGTTTAGCAAAGCAAAGAGGACAAGGGAGACAATGGAAAAGTCAAAGCACTTATTAATATACACAATGCTGAAACGGGAGGATTACAGATGCAAAAGTCCACCTTGAATGCTGCTGTTGTTACTATGTACATAAAAAAGAACAGCGGCCAGTTACTCTCACAGACAGAAACCGATTTAATAGTTCTGTGTCCATTATTCAATTAGGCCCTGACTGTTTAGGCCATTAGCTATGAATATTTTTGTCTGAATGTCTTCATGATGTCTTTCCATGCAGAGTTTAAACAACAGAATAAACTGGAATAAATAACAGAAGAAATAAACATGCCCATGAATAATAGGTCATTTATGACTACGGAATAATTAAATAAAATAATATCACTTAGATCCATTATGCATATTTCAGAATACTATAACATCAAAACATGCAGTATCACTTTACAATAAGGTTATATATTACAACAGACCTTTTATTTACAGTTAGTTTTTTAATTAAACCTTAACATCTGTTTATTATGAACTAACATAAACTAACAACGGTTCTATATAATACCAACATGCTGTGTATATAGTACCATTGTTAGTACCCTGGTATTACACCACAGAGAATAACCTTCTTTCAAAACAATAAAATAATTTGAATGAAAATAAGTTCTGAAATATATATCAAATGCAAACACAGAAATAATCAAACTCCAGTTTTTAAAGCTTAAAAACATACTAGCTTAGCAGAGTCCTGTTCTAACACAATTATATGCAAATGTAATAATTGAATCCTCCGCATTACTTGATCTGCAGAAATTCAGTCATTAACATTTTCACCCGCTTACAGAAATTAGCTGGTTACATTTTAATGACAACCAGTTTCAGACCTCTTTACATGTAGTATGATCTAGCAGTAAAGTAGATTCAACTCCTGAGTGAGGTTGATGTGTGTCATTTACTTTGACTTGACATCACAATGACTGCTAATTTACCTAAAGAGATACCAGGTTTGTTGGCACCAAAATAGCCTTAATGAATCAGTCAAGAAATATTTAGATTCAGATAATTCATCATATAACAGAGACAACATGATTTTACTCATAATCTAGATAAAATAATATATTGTGGTCAATGCAATTTAATGCACAAGCACCTACATTTTGCCATTCAAAGACTTCATGATTATGAAGTTCATAATGAAGGTTTCATATGACTAAAAAACACTCATAGACAAAGTGTCAACAACCACCACTCAAAAGTTCGTGGTTTTCGTGTTCGTGGAGACTTTCGCCTCTTCTCTTGAGCTCCATATTCCATGTTTTCAGAAAAGAGGCTACTGTCTCAGATGCATTTTGAAATATCGACTATCTGTTAACACTGTTGAGATTTTGTCCACCTCAACCCACTTGTTTCTAACTTATACAGTTAACTCGGTGAAGTCTGAGCTCTCATTCTCGCCCTCATGCTCTGTGGTAATGACAGATGGGATGCTGGTGGCCTTACAGGTGGAGGCGTTAGTCTCTATGCTGATGGCAGTCTTCGCACTGGTTATTGTCCCAGTACTGGTGCTCTCCATGCTCCCAATGTGACCACAGCTGCCACAGGTTCCCCAGAAGCATGGCAGAAATTGTGGCATCTCCTTATAGAGCTCTTTGCAGCACAGGCCGAACACCACAGGGCTCAGGGACTGCGCAAAACTGAAGAGGATGAAAATCGACACTGCTATGGGGAGTGCCTCCTGATGCCGGGAAATGATGATGAGAGAGGGAAGAATGTGCAGGCTCATCTGCAGACTGTGGATGAGAATGGTGCGGCGGCCTTTACTGTTGGATCGCTTGAAATGGCCAGCACGTCTGCCTTCCAGGTAAATCGCCATGTAGCTTATGATAATAAGCAGCACCAGCAATAACAGCAATGCTAAAGCGCTGGCGATGCATGCAGTGCCCTCCAATGCCGTAGAGCACTCGGTGTCCAGCCCTACCACGTAGTCCCACGGAAAGCGCACACAGGCTAGGACAGTGAACACTACGGGGTTGAGCAGGGTGAGAATGCAAGCTACCAATGCAACCCAGCGGTGCAAGCGCTGGACCAGAATGGGGTAGTGGAGTGGCATGCAAATGGACAGACAAGTGCTGATGGACATCAGTGTGAGGGTGATCATCAAACCTCGTGCCATCACCACCTGCAGGTCGAAGAGGATCCAACAGGTGATTCGAGAGATTGGCCAACGTAGGCTGCGAAGGCTGTGTACGACTGCACCCATTATGTTGAAGCCGGTCACACAGACACAGTGCTGACACAACATAAGATAGCGAGGGTTCTGACGCAGCCCCTGGTTGTGCCACACTGTCGCTATGATGAGGCAGGTAAAGAGACCAGTGACAATGAAAGCTCCAAAGTGGACAAATGCTTTTACAGTCTCCAAAAGTCTATTGTTATCAGCTAGATTGGCGCTAGTGAACCCTGAAAAAAACCCGACAATGTTACATGGAGATATGAAGTCTGAATATGAAGTCACATAAAAATAATGGAGTTATATGACAATGATAAAATCCGACAGGCTTTTTATGACAGCAATGAGTCTACAGGAGTGGATGATCAAGAAAACTCACAAGTACAAATTTTGCAGTTAAGTGTAAGAAAACTAGAAATCCACTCACCTGTTTGAAGCACAAAAGCCAAATCCATCCGATCACTGGTGTTAGTCATTTTTTTAATCTGTCACTTGTTACTGGAACTTGATTAATAAATCATATTCATTCTTAGAATCACCTTCCTCTTCAGCTTGTTTGGAGCCAAAATTAACAATTTTGCCTTTCAGTATCCTTCCCTGTGGTCTTTGTCATGCTTATTCACAGATGCAGATTGTCTGAGTGATTCTCACCTGCAGCCAGCAGTCTAGTCACAGCGCCTCAGGTTTCCAACCCCCTACGCACGCATGGTCTTTTCCTGTGTTGTGACACAATGCCACGCAACAGTTATCTACTGAGCGTATGAGAGATGTGTTTTAACCACATGCTCTTAAATAACTCGTCTTATTATTTCAAGCATACCGTTATTTAAAATGATCAAGGAGAGCTGAGGTGTTAATTTGGCACTTCTCCAATGGCTGTGAATATTTGAGATATGATTGGTGTTGACACGTTTAATGACTGCTAAAGCTCATTAAAGATTGCCATGGTTATATGGTTATGGTTCAAAGGAATACAGCAACAGATGAGCTGTGAAATACTTGGATTGGACATTGTTTTTTTTTTCTTTGGAAACTTATATAGTAATTTTTATTCCAGTGTTTTTACTAAATAATTGAAATATTGGAATGTACAGTAGAATATATTATAGAATTATATTACAGAATATATTATTGAAATGCGATATTTATTTTTAACGAACAAAACATGACTGTTCTTGCAACAAAATAACATTCAAAATATTTCTACATTTTAGGTTACTATTCACAAAAATGGGCATGGACAGTACACAGGACAATACTGTTGGAACTGTGGGAGTTATGTATGGTGAAGTAGAGAAAACACAAGCTGGCACAATCAAAGTGTAATCAAATCAAAAGAGTGCAATAATTATGCCAGAAAATGAGCTATCATGAGTTTTACAAGTTGTGAAATGCAGAGTGTGTGTGTATATATTTATATATACATACACCTAAAACTGGTTCTTTGGCTAAAAAACTTTTTAGATTTGAGTGAATGTAATAGTCTGCCAGATCAACAAAGTCGCTGTGCACACTATTTGCAAGAGCGAGTCTTCAATGCAAGCAAAAATGGTGTTCCAGACTTAAAAAAGGCTTTGTAAACAGTCTTCAAACATTTATTCCAAAGGTACTGAAGAGGAACTTGGCTCATTTTTATCCTCACAGGGCTGATTCTCCTTCTGCTTCCGGCGACTAATCTGCATCTGCAGCTGCAGCTTGTTGGTGAAGAAAATTGTCCTCCAGCCAACCTCCTCAGCTAAATCCTCCACTGTTGGTGTCACAGTGTCACAATGCTTCCTCACTGTCTGCTCCCAGAACTCCTCAGAGTTACAAAGCTGGAGAGAAACCCCCCCACAACTTAACAGAGAACATAGACACTTTACATGTAACCATTTAAAGCACAGCAACCTCAAAAAGTAATGAAAAATTTGGAATAATAATAAAATAATAAAAACGTTAACATTTTATGTGAAATGTTTTGCTTGAAATGTGTGCTTGAGCTATTTTATTTAAAATAAAAGCCTTCGGTTTTGATAAATGACACTTTGAAACTGCAGTGGCATTACAGTAGGCCTTACCTCTCTAAACCTACGGCAGGTGCGTGAAACGACTGAAATGTCTTCAAGGTCCAGATGTGCCATGATGTTGAAAAGTAAAGCATTGGGGAGATGGACAATGTAATCATAATGGCCCTGGCATAAATTTTTGGAGTACTGCAAGATGTGAGGACCAAATACCACGGCCACTTGATCTGGATGAGACAGATCAGATTGTTCACTGAATAAGCAAAATCTACATTAGGAGAATTTACTAACTTTATTTGAAACGTATGCTAAAAACATGAAGCATATACAAGTCTGATTGAATAACTCACTTTGCAGACGACTGTCTTCTAAGAAGTCTTCATGTGATTCTCTCAGTTGTCCTGGTGGTGTGTTCCTGCAGTCTGATCTCAAAGATATCTTCCACCAGCTCCAAATTATCTGCAGTGAAGGATGCTTATAATTATGGTAAATAAGTAATAGCCAACAATAAAGATCTGAAAGTTCTTCTCCACATTATATCTTTTAGGTTCTTCAGTAGAAACCAACAGTGTCTTTATGTAAAATATCTGTATTACATTTCAACTTTTACATTTCAGTGTGACCATAAAAGCTAGTTTAATTAAAGTCTACAGCCAAAGATCTACAACCCCGGACCTGATGAAGACACAAATGTGTTAATCTCATTCTCTACCAACCAATTTGGTAACATTTGTGACTACAATTTAGCAGTGCGTCCTTAGGAAGGTCTAGAAGATAAGGGATAAACAAACAGCAATCTTTCGTTCATGTAGCTGCCTCAAGAGTAACTTGTGTTAACAATAATAATAAAAAAAAAAACTAGACTCGACAAACCTGAGATTTTGTTATTGCAAAGTGGAAATAGTCCTTCATAGGTGCAGGACCTTGTCCACTGGTCTCAAACAGAGTTTCTCCCAGTAAACTCGCCATTCCCGAATACCGTTTACGCGTTACCAGGACAACCGAGACTCCACAGCGACTGCGTGCGTCATCTGCAGAAGGAATGATCAGTATGGCAAGCCGTTTAGCATTAAATACTTCTTGCTTGCGATATGATCAATGCGATTTCACACTCACTGATCCTCGACATATTTAGATATTTATATATTATAGGTCGCCCGCCATCGGAAGCACGGTTTTTGGCGTCGCTTATTTCAGTCAATCGTCATCTGTCCATCTGAAACATTATATTGAATAAACATTATGTTATAGTAGCTAATGGGTTCTGCTCATCAGTCATAGTCATACCACTTAGACTTGTCATAGCAAAGCATCTGAATACTTACAACAATGCAATATTTTGAAGTTTTTCTTTTTTCTTTTCTTTTTCTATAATTGCAAAGTTATGTTTTTATGGCTTTGTCACTATGGGGTATTTAGTGTAGATGTGAACAAGTAAAATATGAAAAAATTAAAGGGTTTGAATAATTTGATTCTGCTGTTTCATAAATGTAGAATAGATGGTTTAAATCAAAACCCAACTTTAACCAGTGGATGAATGAGGTTAAAATTTTGTGCAAGTCTTTAGAATTGGTTAAAAACAAGAAAGCTCTCAAATTGATTTCGTTTTTGGGGCATGTATAAACTAATGTAAAAAGCCCCTTTTGGTTTGTTTTATTTGTTCTATTTATTTATTTATTTTCTTCTTTATTATTGGTTTATTGTGATCTTGTTTGCCACTGGTTATTCTCAACCTAAGGCTGTTTATGTGTTTATGTGATGTGTTTATGTACCTTGTTTGTTTGTTGTAAATGGAAGCATAATAAAAATAAAAAAAATAATAATAATTTGATTCTGCTGTAATTATTTACCTTATTCTAAATAAGCTAATATTATGATTATGGTGTTTACATGAGTTGCTTTTAGAATATTCCTTTCATGTTCCCGTTTTACATGTTATAGTACATAGTTCGATTAATGGCACACGTCATTACGCCCCCACGTGACGACATCCGACGTCCCCTCCGGAATTTCACATATAAACATATAGTTCGTCTTCGTGATGATACCATGTACAGTTAAAATCGGAGTATTGTTGTCCATGTAAACGTACTCACTCAGTCTGGGTGTTAATTTGATCCAGTAGTTATAATGAATCAGATTTTTCAGCATTCATTTTTTTCTTTTTGCCATTATTTAGGCTACATGATCCTACTTGAAATTACACTGCCAGCTAAGTTTAGAACAATTAAAATGTAATGTTTTTGAATGTTTTAATGACTCTTATGCTCACCTCAACTGCATTTACTTAAAGCTGCAGTCCGTAAGTTTTGCCTCTTTGTCGCCATCTCTGTTTGAAAACCTGGAATTGCAGCTGTGTGCGGAATTATCTATTTGCGTGGGTTGTGCTCCAGCGCGGATGAATCTAATGTTCTGAAGAGTATGTGTGGCAGTCAGTCACCGCACTATTGTTATACTTTATTCTCAAATGATTAATGTTAACAACATCAGCATTGGTGACTATATGAGTAGTGTGTATTAGCGTGTAGATTTCAATTTCTGCACAGTCTAATCTAATTGTCATACTCATATTAAGAAATTCTTTAACCCAAAAAGCTAATTATGCTCCCTTCGAACTGGTTTTCTTTAAAATACAAATCTTTGTAATCCCAAACTATCTGTAATCAGAAGCACATTTGTAACTGGAATATAATTTCATTTCATTCACATGTGTTTCATAAACACATAATCCTTTCTGGATTAAAATCCACCATCAAAATGATACATTTAATTATTCAGGCTGCTGTGAGAAAAGGCTATAAACGATCAGCCACCTGCAGGATCCTCACATGCGATAGCCTACTAGCTGGGACAACTTGTTTATGTTTACAGACGTGACGTAATGACGCAGTGCCATGCTCGAATTTCCCGCGAAAACCTACCCGTACCACTCAAATTAGAAAACATTACTATAAACTAACCGTTGTGAATTGGGCTAAAGTAAGGCGATAGTTTTGAACACTGGCTGGTTATGTACTTGCTCAAATATTGATTTCGGATCATTTTTAACCAAAAAAAGTAACGGACTGCAGCTTTAATAAAAATAAAAACAGTAATATTGTGAAATATCATTACAATTTAAAATTTCCATTTTCTTTTTAAATGTATTTTAAAATGTAATTTATTCCTGTTTGGCAAAGCCGAGTTTTCAGCAGCCATTACTTCAGTCTTCAATGAAGTAAAAAAAACACACAGATGCATGTAACACGGTAGTTAAAAATCATTTAATATTTTATACATATATTTATATATGTACACATTAACTTGTATACCTGTAATGGTAACTTTTGATGTGGTCAAAAATCCATCAACGGAGAACACCGCAGGTCACACCTGCCAATTTCCCAAGGTGCAGCTATAGAGAACCCAAAGGGGAAATCATAGAAAAGTGAACTCTTCCACTTACATCTATTCAGTCCTTTTGTGCTGTAGACACCTGCTTTATCTACACAGCCACTTGTGCTGAACTCCTCTGCCCTTACAATAGGTGTCAGGTTTTAATCTAAACCATGTTTTCTTACCTCCTTGAGGTGATTAGTGGCGTCTATGTGTTTTCGCCTCAACAGAATGAAACGTTTCTGCTAGAGCTGGTGCTAAGGACAAACTGAAGTTGTTTGTACAGCTAATCACAGCATCCCTAGACACCATTGTGTTCTGCTGTTCTGTCACAGTTTCTCTTTGTGAATAACATGTTTTTAAAAGGATTACAAATGCTGATATGCACAAGGAGCTTACTTTCTAGGCATAAACCATTACTTATTGAGTTGAAGGCATAAATGAGGCGGGACAATCGTGGAGTTTTGTCCAGAATACACAGATGGGTGGGGAGGACCGTCACCTGCGTATCCACAGCTCTTTCTCTAGAAATGTCGAAGACTCAGTGCAGTAAATACAAAATCGGAATACTTTCAGATTCTTGAAGACAATGTTTTAGAGCATTGGTGATGTGGAACGTGTGCATGATGCTGCTGAGATATGCCGTAAAAAGCGCTTTAAAGAAAGGGGTTTGTGGAGGAACCTCCTGTGGGGTACGGTCCCGCTGGGCCTCCGCCCTGAAGAGAAGTCGACAAGACAAGACAATGTATCCATCAGAGTTGATAAAGAAACATTGTTCTGAAGGTGTAATTCATCATTTCTGCCCTCCAGCAAAAACATGTTGGCAATTTAGGAGCACATTAGAAGTACCATTACTTTTCAAAGGTAATATTCAATTATATTAAGTTAATTCTACTTGGCCAGGATCAGAATTCTAAGAATCTTTAATGCAGCCTAATATCAGGAAAGAGTCAGACTGCCATTAACACATTAAAGGTGCATTCAGCAGTTTAGTGCCAATTTAAAATGTTTCAAACATTAATAAATAAATTGTGTTTTTGTTAAGTGTCATCTGAATGGTGTTCACCAAACCATTCAAATCACACTTCACAAAAACACTATTTATTTCTTAATGCGTAAAACTTTGTTGTACTCATGATGGTTTTCTATAATTATTTTAATTGTTATAGGGCTGCCACTAATGATTTTAATGTGTTGATTAGCTTATCTGTTTTATGTCTTCGATTAACTGAATAAAAAAAAGCAACATTTTATTTTCTGCATTTAAACAATAACATTCTACATCCTGCCAAATGTTGTCCCTCAAACAATGTGCAAATTGCAGGACAAATTAAAAAACAAATATGGTGAACATGTTTAGTTTGTAGTGCCATACATTATGTGCAAAAAGTGTTAAAATACATACCACAGATGCTTCTCTTTTGCTCGTCAAGTGAGAGTATTAATTATTGTGTAGACTGCACTATAAAACTCCCTAGTATCAGTGTCATTTACATAAAACTCAAGACGATCAAGAGATGGCAGTGCAGCGTCTAACACGATTCGATATCTGTACTTAAAATACAAGAAAAACAAAGATTATGATGCTAGCTAGAATCACTACTACTACTGAATGCACCTTCAGACTTCAGAGCATCCCAGGGGCAACTTTTTGAGCAATTTTGCCGGGTAACTGTTTTTGAGCAATGCTGCTTGGGCACTTTCCCATTGAGAATGGGGAACAAATGTCTATCTGGATACTTTAGATCGGTTGTGGGCCCTGTGTCTCATCTGGTTGCCCATTGACGGCAATATTGGCCAAAAAGTTGCCCCATGTATCATCAGCATAATGTTTTCAGCAATACAAACGGTAATTCACTTAAAACAGAGGCAACAAAATGACATCCAAAAATGTGCAGTGAAGATTAAAGTGTTTTCAGACCTGTAGATTGTTTACTTTGCAGTTACTTTTTTAGACAACACTGTTACAATGTTGCATATGCAAGGCCAAATTTAAAAACGGACCTAATATATTAATGGCCTAATAAACAATCATTGGGAGCAATGTGTCCAGTTGTTGGTGAGAATGTGTGCACTCTGTGTACAGTATATTGATATTAATCATAATACATTGAAATATTCTAACTTAATTAAAATGCTAAACAGCATTCAATCAAGATGTAAACTGAAATCATATTTCTTTTCTTTACATTTCCCCTCCTCAGTAACTATAGTTTTTTTTTTTTTTTAAAGATTCTTAATTTCTCAAACACATCAACTCCCAGTTATGTTAGCAAAAAAGTTGGAAAACAAGCAGCTTTGTCATAATCACAGCACAAATAACATTACTTTATATTGGGAAGCCTTTGCTGCATTATGGGCCTTCGAGTCTAAACGGTTGAGAACCACTGTTTTGAAGAAATGAATAAAGAATATTTTCAGACTTTGCATTTACTTCACAGCCATTGGTTTGCTTACCATGAATGGGTTGCTGGAGATGCCAGGTCCTGTGACCACCTGCCCATAGTTGCCCATAGGCTTGGCCTGTCCGTAGGCTGGAAACCCCCCTGAGGAGGACCATAGAAGAAGAACGGACATGGTGCTAGTGCATTAGACTGACAGACATTAAAAACTGATCTTAATGCTAAAGCACTGAACCTGCTACTCCAACACATGCAACACCAAAACTCACACCAAAGCACAAAAAGCAAAAGGAGTTGATGCTTAATACAATACAAACACAGCCTTTCTCATAACTTATAAGAGTATGCATAAAAGAAAGGCATAAGCCACTGGGGGTTTGGGCCACCTCGCACTCAAAAAAAAAAAAAAAACTAGTCTCACATACCATTGGGCTGTTGGTGGTAGGCTGCAGGTGGGGGAAAGGGACCTTGGCCAGGGAATTGCTGCTGGAAGGTCCCACTAAAACTGGTTGGCAGGCAGTAACTGGTTGTGTTCCCAAAGCCAGCTGGCATGCTCATGGAGCCAGTGCCAAATGAGGCTAAAATAAATAAAACGAGACCAGAGGAGGAGTAGCATGTTTCATCTGCTCATTCCTTGAATGGACACACACATAAAATCACCTTGGCTTGTTCTGGGGGAACATACCTGCAAATGATGGCGGCACAATAACAGAGCTGTCAAATTGTAGGGCAACCTGGAAGGCTAATTTGCAATGGGCTCCCTGGGGATTTTCTAACGAGTTTTTAGAATAGAGGTTTTTGATTTATGAGTAAAATAAGGTCTATGCATGCATGGTTAACATGACTTGAAGAGCTTTGTTCTACAACATAATTTACACAAAGTCATACACTACCGTTCAAAAGTTTGGGGATGTCTTGCATTTAATTGTAAAAAAAAATACAAAAACAAGAACATTGTGCAATATATATATATATATATATTTTTTTTTTTACAACAACATGGGATTATTCAATGCATGCTGATGAACTTTTATCATAGTTTATAGTTATATGGAAACGAAAGTTTTCATTGCATGTATTGATAGATTAATGCTTATTAAAGCTATAACGTTATTCAGATTAAGAGCAGATTTGCATTTTGATGGCCCAAGCGCCAGTCTGTCACTTTAAAACAATATATTGACACACATCGGATTTTCTCCCAACTGTTTAGTAATTAAGTGCAAGTTCCTGATTCCACAGAAAGCAAAACGTTTGCTTACAAAGCAAAACACAACATGCTACACAGAAACAAACAGCAAAAAGGGAGAATGGATCTGACCAAAGACTCCTTACCATCTTTTCTTCTCATATTTCTCCTGAAGAAACTCTTTGACTTTCTGAGGTTCACGGAAATCTGGGAGCTCTTGTCATCATACAACCCCAGCCAGATGTGTTTGCAGACCTGAGCACAAAAAAAAGAAAAAAGAGAGAGCGACTACTCAAAGGAACTTCAGTATGTGTGCATATCGTAATGTGCCCTATGTTTTAAAGCATGCAGTACCTCATTGCTGTGTTTTTGTAAGAACTCGATTTCCTGTTGGGTGAAAGTTGTCATGGAGATAGACTTCACTCTGTGTGGAGGGTTGAGGCCTCGTCTGGGGTACAAATCAAATGACATAAACATCACAGATTGGTCAGTGCAGAGACAATACTAAACTTGGAGAGCCCTACTTGTACCAGTCGTACATTATTATTAGTGGTGCTTATATTTCTTCTTCTTCTAGACAAACTCTCTTTGCACTTTAGGCACAAATGATACCTAAAATAAATACCTTTATATAATAATAACATGTAAAATGCATTTGAATTATAAATTAATTATTCCTTACAAAAAATGGGAGAAAAAAATCCTATACACTTGCATTGAAAAGTGTAACAAGCCACCAAGAAGCAAAGTACAGCAACCAGCCAGGACACCATACAAACAATATATCAACATGCCAAGGCTGTATAAATTAACCATGAGGGTGGGCTCTTTTGATTCGAGTGGTGTACTTAAGCACCATTAAGACCCCTAAGGCTCTGTTTGGGGTCTCTGGAGGCCCCTGTCCCATTTAGTCATGTCTCAGTGCCAGAATATCATGAAGAAACTTACATCAGGCGCGACTTATGACTCAGATTAAGAGCAGATTTGCATTTTGATGGCCCAAGCGCCAGTCTGTCACTTTAAAACAATATATTGACACACATCGGATTTTCTCCCAACTGTTTAGTAATTAAGTGCAAGTTCCTGATTCCACAGAAAGCAAAACGTTTGCTTACAAAGCAAAACACAACATGCTACACAGAAACAAACAGCACAAAGGGAGAATGGATCTGACCAAAGACTCCTTACCATCTTTTCTTCTCATATTTCTCCTGAAGAAACTCTTTGACTTTCTGAGGTTCACGGAAATCTGGGACCACGGAGCTCTTGTCATCATACAACCCCAGCCAGATGTGTTTGCAGACCTGAGCACAAAAAAAAGAAAAAAGAGAGAGCGACTACTCAAAGGAACTTCAGTATGTGTGCATATCGTAATGTGCCCTATGTTTTAAAGCATGCAGTACCTCATTGCTGTGTTTTTGTAAGAACTCGATTTCCTGTTGGGTGAAAGTTGTCATGGAGATAGACTTCACTCTGTGTGGAGGGTTGAGGCCTCGTCTGGGGTACAAATCAAATGACATAAACATCACAGATTGGTCAGTGCAGAGACAATACTAAACTTGGAGAGCCCTACTTGTACCAGTCGTACATTATTATTAGTGGTGCTTATATTTCTTCTTCTTCTAGACAAACTCTCTTTGCACTTTAGGCACAAATGATACCTAAAATAAATACCTTTATATAATAATAACATGTAAAATGCATTTGAATTATAAATTAATTATTCCTTACAAAAAATGGGAGAAAAAAATCCTATACACTTGCATTGAAAAGTGTAACAAGCCACCAAGAAGCAAAGTACAGCAACCAGCCAGGACACCATACAAACAATATATCAACATGCCAAGGCTGTATAAATTAACCATGAGGGTGGGCTCTTTTGATTCGAGTGGTGTACTTAAGCACCATTAAGACCCCTAAGGCTCTGTTTGGGGTCTCTGGAGGCCCCTGTCCCATTTAGTCATGTCTCAGTGCCAGAATATCATGAAGAAACTTACATCAGGCACGACTTATTTGATTTATGACTGTAAATTGAGGCTCCGTGTGCAGCCCTAAAGCCCTCTGGGGCCCCTGGAGGCCCTTGTGGGTCCCTGTCATATTTAGTCATATCCCTGCACCAGAATGTCAAAAAGACACTGACACTGAGGGTGGCTCTTTTGTCTTAGGAACAAAAATTGAGGCCTTGATTAGAGCCCCAAAGCCCCCTGGGGGCCCCCATCTTATTTAGTCTCATCACTGCACCAGAATTTCATGAAGACACTGATGGTGGCTCTTTTGTCTTAGGAACCTAAATTGAGGCCCTGTGTGGAGCCCCGAAGTCCCATGGATGTAAATGTTGTCCCCTGTCATATCTCAGCACCAAAATGTCAGAGATATAGGCGTTGGCTCTTCTGACTGGCCAGTGAATTAAGAGCCCATGTGCTCTGCCAGGGGCCCTAAACTCAGCACCACAATCTCATTCAGACATGTTCATGTGGCATTGTCTGTAAGTTCAAAAGCACTCACATTTTCTTCAGTTCATCCAGTTATGAACATCATCTACGCATAAGCAGCTGTAATGTTTAAACATGAGTGTGTCACACGTTGATACAATACGTTATGAACACACTCACAACTAGTAGCACCAACGTCGCACTGTCTTATTTGAATAGGAGCCGGTCTTATTTGAAAAGTTCGGCTGCTCTGGCCCTGAATCTCGTGTTATTTTTGTGAACGCTGATGTTATGATGATGATGATGATGATAGAAAGGCAGCTGGGACACATTCTGCAGATGATCTCTCAGATGGGAGGTGTTGTTAGGCGTCTGTCCGTACAGACGCTTGGGGAAAAACAAGTAGTTCATACACCATCTGTGTGAATATGAGGGGCCTCGTTAAAAACTTACAGTATTCCGGAACAGGTGGTGCACACAAACGAGCCCACTGTCATGTTGGCGTAGGTCGGGCCGCGCTGATCGCAATCAAAACATTTCCTATTGGGAGGCAGGCTGGTCATCTCCCGAAGCATCTTCAAGTGTTTCTCCTCCTGTTTTCGTTTGGCACTCGCCGCCATCACGAAATAATAAAGCTGTCGAGTCTAGGGCAGCTGGAGCTGTGAGTTATTGGTAAATCTAGTGCATAAACACGCCCGGCAGGCACTGGAAAATCGTTCCTTCTTCTTTAAATTTTATTGGCGGTTGGCAAACCAACTTAAAGGTGCATTTACCGCCACCTACTGGACTGGAGTGTGGGCAGTACTGAAAGAAAAGAGAAGGAAAAAAAAAAAATAAATAAAATAAAAATATTTATATACATATCCCCCCCCCTATATATTTCTATTAAATTCTTTCACTTATCCCAGTATTTTTCAAATAATTCATTAGGAGACTATGTACTTCCCTAGACATTGTTTCTCCTAGCAGATTTCCCACTGTCATGTTTTGCTTTCCAACTTGTGTTTCTAACTCCCTTCTTTCTTCTTCATACCTTTTACAATCTAATAAAATATGTTTTACTGTCTCTTGTGTGTTGCAGTGGTTGCAAAGACCAGTGGGGTGTTTTCCTGCTTTCTGTAATGTAAAATTTATTCCTTCTGCCATTTCCTGCCCAGTCACAGTCCAGCCGTTGCCAACCCCCTCGAGCGCCGATTCGGAAAATCGTTCCACATAGGACAGCCAGGAATAACCATAACGTTGTTTTTCTCTGGACTGATGTGGATCGCTATAGGCTGTGCATGTCAATACTGCCACCTACTGCACCGGAGAGAAAGGCCTCTACTGACACATTTTCAAAAAACAGTTGAAAACTCCTAAAATTAATTAGGATCAGAAACTTGAGACTCTCACGAAATTGTTACAGCGATGGCACAGTGCCTGATGGTAATTGTATGGTTCTAAATGATTGCCATGTTATTTACAAGATAGGCCTACTCAAATGTAATTTAAATAACAATTAAACTATAGGAGAACAGAAAAGCCTGGTTTCATGACTGAAATACACGATAGTTCCTTGGTACTTTGTAGTTTGTGGTTGTATCGATACAAATAAACACGAATATAAAGCACAAACTGCATCTGACACCACAAGAGTAAGTTAATGAATGAGTTAGCCTACTCACTCAGTGACTATTGAGTGAATGTTATTTGTTGTTTTTATGGTTGTACAATGAACTGTTTTTTCATTGTTCAATATTTTTGCAAATTTAAAGTTGGTCAGCATTTTAGAGATGAACAATTTCTAATTTGAATGCTTAAAATCGTAATTGTTCAGTGACTGAAGAACGGTGTGGGCTATTTAGCTCTAATGTTCTGCGAGTAAGCAGCATTATCGGTCGTATATAATGAAGAACAGAAATAAAACGAAGAGCTGAAATCAAATTATTTCATAGAATGGTCTCAAATTAACATGTGAAATGAGTTTGTTAGGCTACTTTAGAGCATTAAAGATGTTTCGACCATACCCAACAATGGTACAATTGTAACAAATGTCTTTGTAAACAGTGAAAAGATATGAACTATTTATATGTATTATTGATCATAAATTCTTAGTTTGATAAATACAAGAAATATCACATGAAAATTGTGTTTGTAATAGCTGTTGTGAGGTAATGAAAAAGACAAAAAGTGTTCCAACTGTACTCCGTCTACCCTATATTATATACGCATCAGGTGTGAAACCACATTAAACTGGAGGAAGTGTTGTTATTATTAGACTTGTATACAAGACGGACTCGTATTTTGGCCAGAAGCAATAGTTTAAAGTTAAAATGCCTTATTGATGGATTCGTTACTTATAAAGTAGCTTTTCACTTCACAAGATGGTAATGAGTGTTGTGGATTACTTGTGGATTATTGTGGTGCTTTTATCCGCTGTTTGAACTCTCATTCTGACGGCACCCATTCACTTGCAGAGGATCCACTGATGTTATGTAATGCTACATTTCTCCGAATATGTTCCGACAACAAACTCATCTACATCTTGGATGGCCTGTGGGTGAGGAAATGTGCAGCTAATTTTCATGTTTGGCTGAACTATTCCTTTAAATACAAACCACAATAATACTGCAACAATGAAACACAGTATATTTTTTAGAAATAAAAAGAAGTAATCTGTAATTTAATACAGGCTCCTGAACATAAAAGTTTTTTTTTGTTTGTACATGATACAAAAACATTAAAACATATATTTTCTTGGCACTGGTTTTACATGATGTTGCCATTTGAACAAAATAAAAAAGATCCATGCCATTATACTTCTGACTCTTTGGTCCACATGATGGTTTGATCAATGGTTTAAGATTCAAGATTCAAAAGGGTCCATATTATTTCATTTTTGTTCGCTTTTTCCCACTGGATGCTTCCACAGCTGCAGACTCAGCCTAGATAAGGAAGACAAGATTGTTTGTTACAATGTTCAAGCAAGCAATCGATTTACAATACATCTTTATTGATATCTGACCTTTCTCCTCCGTGTTGCACGGAAAAAATCCTCAATACGTGACTGTCGAGTTTGGCCCATTTTCTCATCCACCTCCCTCTGCTTCCTTCTCTTTAAGAGAGACTCACGAAACTTCTTCATGCGTCCCCGCACCCTTTCTTCCCTTAAAACATTGAATAAGGTCACACACCCAAAGAAAGTTTAAATGCACAACTAAAAAACAAATAATACTAAATCATGTCAGTTAATATCGCACTCTTTATCAAAAAATGTCAGATACTAGTAAATACTAGAACACAGATATGTACTTCAAAGGCCTCTCTTTGCACAGGAACTGCACCAGGCCCTCTTCATCAGGCTCACTCCAGGCCAGGACAGGGTCGTCAATTTTTGGGGTTTCAAAAAACAGCTTGCGGGCATCCTTGTACTGCCAGTTTGGAGGGATTGGGTGTGTCTGGAAGAATTGACAGCCAAAGTCGCCTTTTATTTTGATGTATGAACAACAGCAACCAGAACATTCTTCTGAACATCTATTTTTGTGTTCCACAGAAGAAAGAAAATCATATGGTTTTTAAAAGCACATTAAGGTGAATAAGTGATGACAAAACTATCAGAATGTTGCCTTATTGAGCCTTCTAAAGTCACAATGAAATCAAAGTGGAAAATTCGGATATACATCATACGGACATACATCACAATAGAAAACAAAAGACAATCACAATTCCTGTTTATTGCCAACTTTAGCAGTGCATGATTTCTTTGGCTTGTACGATTTCTTTCTGAACAAGCACCTTTCTGTTGATATGTTCCATCACACCCTCTATTGTATGATGTTGTTTGATAAGCTTCAGTGCTCGACTCGGCCCAAGACCCCCAATCTTATCGCAGTAGTCACAGCCCAGCAAGATACACAGGTCAACAAACTAGGAAAGAGACACAGGAAGAAAATTAAGCAAATCAAAACACTCTTTTTATTATTAGAACTCCTGTTCTTTTGATTTTTTGGGGGGTTAATTTAACAATAACCATGCAATTCTAACGTTTCTCAAAATCAAAATAAAGTTACAACTACTACACTCAGAAGTAATGCCAATTACATCAAGATATTTTAGATATGTATATTAGCAGCTACTGACAGTCAGGCGCTGAGATTTGTTACAAAAATTAAGAGCAAGGGTCAGCAAACAATGAAAAGAAGGCAAAACATTGAAAATACCTGTTTATATGTTAGCTGTAGAGCTTCCAATAGATTTGGTAAGGAGTACTCTGTGACCTCACTATGAGAGAAATCATTTAAGGACATAACCATGATAGATATTTCTGTATTTTAATACACACAACAGAAGGTCATTAATAAAGAAGTCCTTTATCTCTATGTCAATTTAACATGTTAGAAACATGCCTTTCCAAAAAGGTGTAGAAATTACTATTAATGCCTTGTTGTAAATGTATATATTCAATATTACATAACTCAGCATTACTTTCTCTCGTGTTATTTATGTATATATGTATGCATGTATGCACTCAGAGCTCCTGGAAACCACAACAAATTTCTTGTGTGTTTGGCGAATAAAGCTCATTATTTGATTCTGATTAAGAGAGCTCAATTAAGGCTTACAACAAAAGGTGAAATGATAAAAACAACAACCATAATAGCAAATATTAATATCACTAATAAAATATTAATTATTCATATTAAATATTTTATTACATAACAGTATTATTACAACGTATAATTTATAATACACTATTAAAACTGAGCTTGTGAGGACAAATCCTTTGAGCCAGACAGTAGATGGACTAAATTTTTGAATTTATAAATATTTTAATAATATTTGTTCATTTATTTTATTTTTGTATTCATGCATCTTTCATGTACTATTTTTAGGTGTGCTCTGCTTGTAAGATAAAGTTTTAGCAAATATTATTTTTATTTAAAAGCATATCTTTTTCAATGTTCTCCTGCAAAATCTACAATCAGAACAATCAGAAGATTTTTGACTACTTTCTCACCTGTCTCTCTTTGCATTGAGCTGGCGGAGCAGAACAGTCCCTCCAAATGCTAGTGTGTCCATGTCCTCTGAGGCTACAGCATTAACTGTGCCACTTTTGACCAGGTGGGCACACAGCGCCTCTGCTTCACCTGGAGCCTGACATTCACGGCGATGAAAGTCAAAACAAAAATATGAGACAGAATTTATGTTTATAAAGCTAACTAAATTAAAATACCTTGATGCATGGCACACCCATGAGCTGTAAGAGACGCAGGCAGTCTTGTTTAAAGTTGGACACTAAAGTGCAAAATATCATAATGTACATAAGTGTCATATAGTCACAAGCACACTAGAAATAATGATTAGCAGAAACAGTGTGAAATAATACGATACAGTTATAATATTATTTTGGAAGAAAAGACTACTTTTAATGACAGTACAGATAGTAAAGACATTTAGTGACGTGACATGTGACATGTGGCCAAGTATGGTGACCCATACTTGGAATTAGTGCTCTGCATTTAACCCATCCAAAGTGCACACACACAGCAGTGAACACACACACACCGTGAACACAAACCCGGAGCAGTGGGTGTGTGTTTTATAATGTAATGTGTGTGTAACATTTATAATGTTGCAAAAGATTTCTACTTCAAATAAATGCTATTCTTTTGAACTTTCTATTCAAGATTCATTAAGAAAAAGTATAACTTTTCACAAAAATATTAAGCAGCA